CTGATCGGGAGGAAATAGGGATTTTGCAGTAACCTTCCCCTGGAGTGGGGAGGGAATGGGGATTTTACAGTATCCTCCCCCTGCCATGCCCGCCATGCCACGCCCACCATGTCACAACCACTGAACCGGTAGTAAAAAAAAATTGAATCCCACCACTGGAGTGAAGAGCAGAGAGAAGGCAGTCCAGTTGTGTAAACCGAAACAGTGGTACCGTGTATCTCAGCACGATAGTTTTTGCAGTCTGAGATTGGAGCCAAAAATTATTTCAATTAAAAAAAAAATCCATCTTTCAGAATTAGATTTCTTGAGCACATGAAACATGATCTCCACTTGTAGAGGAGAGTTTTCATTGTGTTCATGCTCAGTAATTTGAATTTAATCTCCTATTCTGTTCTCTCCACTTACCTTACTATCTCCTTTCTTCAGCATTTTATTAATCACTTTCTCAGTTCTTCTTTGAGAGGCTTCCAATGGCAACAGTAAACTACACTGGAACAAGTTTAACCATATTTTGCTTTAGCAACCTTTATCTCAAAACCTGGAAGGATGCTTTTCTAGGACTTTCTTATTTTTTCTTTGAAGATATTTCGTTTCTGATCCGAGAAGCTTCTTCAGCTCTGACTGGATGGTGGGGAATGGAAGGGTTTATATTCCTTGCAGACAGTTGATCATTTGCATCCTTTTAGAGGGTCCTTGAAGCACTTGGAGGTTTATCTCTGTCCTCAGGGTCACCTGAGTGGTGCAAATGGTTCCTGTAGTCTGCAATTTTTTTCTCTGAAAATCCATTCCTACACCCTGAAGAAGTTTCTTGGATGAGAAGCAAAACGTCTTCAAAAGAAAAAACAAGAAAGTCCAGTTGCTTCCTGAAAAAAGCACCTTTGGGACAACCATGACCTGGATGACGGAGAATCTCTACAGATCTTTAGTTATATAATTTGGGATGAACTCCCTTTGAAAGGTGTGGGAGTAGGAATCGATTTCCAGAGGAAAAAATTGCAGATTACAGGAATTAGGGGCACCACTCAGGTGACTCTGAGGACACAGGTAAACCTCCAAGTAGCCTCGATGACCCTCTAAAAGGATGCAAATGACCAGCTGTCTGCACGGAATATAAATCCTTCCATTCCCCACTATCCTGTCAGAGCTGAAGAATCTTCTTGGAGGAGAAGCAAAACGTCTTCGAAGAAAAAACCAGAGAGTCCAGTTGCCTTCTGAAAGAGCACCTTTGGGATAGCCAGGACCTGGATGACTGAGAAGGTCTATTGACTTTTAGCTCACATCTATCTCATCTATCTGAGACCAGGAGTAGCTGAACTTAAAGGATCTAGTGATCTTGAATCACAACTTCAATTACCAAGACATGGATTGTGAAATCCAACTGAGTAAGGCAATTATGACCTATCCTGTGCCTACCGAGGTGGCGCAGTGGCTAGAGTGCAGTACTGCAGCCACTTCAGCTGACTGCTAAGCTGCAGTTCGGCAGTTCAAATCTCACCGGCTCAAGGTTGACTCAGCCTTCCATCCT